CGTTGAAATGTAATTCACTTACCTTCTTATGTAGATCCATTTTGTCAATTTCACTAAGTACCCATCCAACGCTGCCATCTCCACCTGCTATTATTACACGGAATGTCTCAAATCTCTGGAATAGACGAAGCCTAGTAGGGATGGGAAAAAGTCAATTAAACACAAGAATGTCCAAAAACTTGTATTTCACCATCAAGCACCAATACAAAAAAAGAAATTGTTTTTTTACCAAAAGTTGCATCTACTAAACGAAGTACCAGTTAGTTTGAAGAGCAGTTAACAAAAAAAAAAAGGAAATTTAAAAAAAAAAATTTAAAAAAAATGTCTAATCAAATGTTAAAGTTATAGACAGAATTAGCTGTGAATGTTGTTAGTAGGCACAAATATTTAATGTACAATAAGTGACTGACTGTTGAGAAATATACTTGTTTTTAATAAAACAGTGGATAAACAAACATTTGGGATTTTTCAATATTGAAAGTGATATATTATTATGTGCAATGACAGAGAATATATTATTGATAGAATTGTCACGCTTTCAATTGCAGTTTCTTATATTGATTATAAAAGTGTATGGTAATACAAAGACCTTTATAGTATTGCACTGCCAAGATATTGTAAATGTCAGGATTTGTTTTCAAGGATTATTGTCTTTTAGTAGTGTCATTGAACTGTGAAATGTCAGCGAATCACAACACCCATGTTGATTACAGTGTGATATGAGCATTCATGATTCACAGTGGATATGACGCAACAACACAAGGAGACTACATTACAAATTGGAACACAGTATCTGTCTTGATAATAGAGAGCAGAATGTTCCACATAGCACACATACATAATTGAGGATATTTCACAGATACATTGCATTGTGGGTATCCAATTATAAGTTTGTATATACACGTATTTTTACCCCCTGCCTAAGGGTCACTTTTTGTGTTTTCCATTAAAATCATCATCTTTTTGCACTCACCCTAAATGTGGACCTCCATTCATCAAGTCAAATACCTGAGCTGGATTCAAGAGTTGTTTAAAACGTCGCAAAAACCGAACCCCCTGATTGTCCCCACTTTTGGAATTGACGAACACCAGCAGCGGGCTCTTGCAGCTGGCTTTCTGAGCTACCCAGTAGCCATCAGAATCTACGCAGTGTAGAGCAGTGGGGGGTATCAGTGACACTCGACACTGGCCTAAGGGGCACTTTGTTGGGAATTGTGACAGACAGTGACTGTGTACCTAGGTGAAAAAAAATTTTAAAAAGATCTATAATTGGAATAAAAATTGAATTTTTAATTATCAGTATATAATAGCTCAATTATCACAAAAACAGATAGTAGCTTCAGAGAGTAGGCGATCAGATTTGATTTCATCTGCACAGTTTATTAGTCAAATGTACGGTGCTATTAATTAGCTCATTATACATACCATAACCTTACACCACAGGCACCGCCAGTCTTGGAGCCGTAGAACGCTACCACACGTCTTATCACAGACGATACATTTAGCGCTTACTGGCAAATTGCCTTCTAACCACTGATGTGGCATTGCAATCTACAGATAAAATATCAAGTATTCTAATCAGCTAATTGATATCACATGACAGTGAAAAGAGACTTCAAATTTACACAATAAGTGAAATCCGACTCACTCAACACAGCCACATCATTGAAAATACCAGTTCATTCTTGCGTTAAGGTTCGTGAACTCAAGAAAATGATTATAACTTACACCGTCTTCATCTTCGATCACTTCTTTACCTATTGTCGCTAACGTAGTCCATTTACAAATTGTCTGTGCCCTCGCAGCACACCGTTTATGTGCTTTAAATTTGCATACTGAAAACAAAATCAAAAATTACTCTTCATTTATTTATTTCCTACTCAACAATCTTAACAAGCAGTTTGTTGATTGACTGATATAGCTTCAGTGTTCCAGATGCATAATGCGAAAGGAATATTAAGTCACCAATTTCAAGAGAGAAAGAATACATTATACAATATCAAAGCAACCCTGCTAGTCTTTTTTAATAAGAAATTGAAATCCCCAGTAGAAATAACAAAACAAAACAAGAATGTTCTAAACCTGCACAGACCATGATGCCCTATGGGTAAACTAAGAACATACGACTCATGGGTGTTAGGTATCTTGAAATACAACTACAGCTCATGACTGAAGTGATTGGAAATTAAGTATTCATCAGGCATGGTAGATTATTGCAGGAAGCCACCTCCTATATAGTATTTCCAAGGCTATCTCCGTATTGCCACCTGACGAGTGATTAAATATTTTAGTACCTATCTCTACTAATCTCTTTGCTTTTGTCTCTATTTTCACAATAAATTGAAGTCATTTTTTTCACTAATCTAAGGATGCTTCTAGAATATGATGATATGATTTTAACGGTTAACCTAAGGGTTCAGTAAACTACACCTACTGATAAATACTGTAAATCAACAACTTTTATTATAAATTGTTTTATCATTTTTCGTCATAAACTTAGGTAGCATACAAAGATTGAGAAGAATAATGAACTTTTTCAATTACAAGAGGACAACATGACAAGAAAAATAGAAATTTGTTGCAGATATCATAATACAACACTCCAATTTAACAGAAAGTGTTCTTTTTCATTTGTTGGAGTAGCCGAGGGAGAACCGAGAATGCCCAACAGTAATGAGCTAAAACATGAGAATACTTCTCACCCATTTAGTAGCTTCTATGAGACTGAAAGAACCATTAAAGATATTTTTATTCTTAAGTAGGTAATAATTATAGAACCAACAAATTGGCTGAGCATAGTGTTTTTTAACAGTTAGCTTTGGGAATCACACTATACATGTATGTAGTTACAAAATTACGGTACCGATATATAAATGGTATAATGAACGACACACAAAATTTACACATACATAAAGGTACAACTGCTGTGATTTGGTTTGATATTAATATTAATTAATCCTTAATAATCAATACAGCTTTTATCATGTGAAACAAACATTTCAAAATTTATATAATTTCGACTTTATTGAGTATATTATAATTAAGTACTATAATTTGAAAACATATACATGTATAGTGGCCTCAGTTTCCAAACCTGTTACTTATGAGGCGACTGATGTTCCCAGACTGAACTAATTAGTTCATCACAACATTAATATATTACATATAATATTTCAGAACATGATATAGACGGAGACAATTTTAAATGAACGACCAATGTTTTTTTATTTGCAAATGCCACAAAATTCATATTCAATGTTTGGGACTACATGTATGTGACAGACTTTAATTTAATTTTAATGACAATTTAAGTCTTATCTTGCAAACCCCATTTAGTTTACCCCGGCATCAACCCGTAGGGTTTTAACACAAGCACTTGTGGTTGTCCCAAAATCTGATAGTGACTGAATCTCGAGCAGTGGCTTTGACTGTAGCTTCCTTTTTTTATAGCTCGCACAGCTGAGGTACACTCACCGGGGATTGAGCCCTGTTTTGATGTTCAACCTCAGGTGAGATTTGAACTCAAGTCCTAACTGTCATGGGCAGGGCACTATAACCACATAGCTACATGTATTGCTGATACTGACTGTTCTTCCTCTTTGTTTCACAGCAATTGAGCAAAACTAAAAATACTCAATCAGAAACACAAACATGCAGCATCTGATGTATAGGCAAACAATCAAAATTCTACCAAGCGCACAGCATGCATAACATCACAATCAAACACGACTTGCTTTGCCCTACCCTTCCCTTTCCCTTTCAGCACTTTACACTCAAGGACTAATGACGTACGAAAAAAACCTTTATACATACATTATAATTGAGATATTTAACAATTATTGGAAAGCATCAAGGTGAAATATTGAAACTGATCTGATGAATCAATATTCATATTTGTCAAGTCCCGATCCTGATGACTATCAATATAATTGATATATTGAGTTATTGATTTCTGTCAGAAGTAATGACGTCCATCTAAGCAGGAAAACACCTGAATTGAAAGTATCAAATGGGAAAGCTCTAATCAACTGGGAAGGTTGATGAGTTTTGTTCTATCTTGTGTATTGACCATGATACCCATATTAATTAAAGCCGCCCTCTGAGATCATTCATAAAGCTTTATTCGAGACTTAGGAATAATATATGAAATATTTGATGGTCCGAAGTTGCAAGCATTGCAGGAACAAAAAAACAAGAATTCAGCAGGATTGTGTCTTGTTTTGAAATACTTAACGACTCGCAGTAATTGTACAGAAATAAATTTTTGAATATCATTTGAGGAGTGTTGGAAGAATTTTCAAGAGCATTAGCATAGGAAATTCAAACACATTCAAATGGAAATTTAAAACAATGCATTCAAATTTGAAAGTTTATTATACATTCCCCACAATGCATGTAAAATCAGATGGTCAAATATTTCACATAATATTCCCATGACCCCAATGAATTGCTCACGGATTGTAACTTTAATCAATACCTAGACGCTATCAAGAATGTCAAAGAAGATCAATAATTGCAAATGGGCAGAATATTGGTTAATAAAAGATTTCCTTTGACTATGGTACATTTACTACTAACGAGAAACTGAGACACTTTGGCGACTGTACCAATCAGCTGATCATTTTTACATACAACGATTCTTCCATTAGAAGCGCATCAGCTGCTTCAATTTTCCCAACATGCATCACTGTTTCAGCGCAAGATCAAACTCTTGCGAAGATAGCTATGAATGATATTTTAAATTGCTGTATGATTATATTCATATCGATAATGTTTGGTACAAGTGCTGATGTATTTTTTTTTTCGCACGTGCTTTTACTTTTTCTATATAGCTAGCGACGGCTGCTGAACAAATTAGAAAGCATGTTGGCAGTGTTTGCAGAAGCCAGGATGTCATGTAGAGATATATTAATTGCGATATACACATTGCCTACTGAAAGCTTCTATGGATATCCAAAACACACACTGAATGCATGAAATCATAAAAAATTCCCATCAGTGAGAGACAGGTACATGTACTACCCTACATCAGGCAATGGTTTGCTCCGCAGTCTTTGTATAGTATGGGTCATTTCATTATTAGTAGGTGTGTTAACTTACTTTCACATGATAATCCATGTGATGTGACTCCCGATAGTGCTTCTCTGCAAACGTTACAGTATGTGGGCCTAGCATGGGAACATGCATACCAATTATGCATGCCAGATATCACTTCAACATGGTCACTCGTTGGCTAAAAAAGAAAAAAAAGGTTTAAGTGAACAAGAGTGTCGAATATAATAATAAGCGATGACAGAATGGTCAGAAATTTGTTAAAATCGTACTTTTATAAAAAAAGAAATTTTTTTTTTTTTCATGCCAGGAAAATTTTATGTGCAAGTGTTGTGTTTTAAACAAAATTGTAATATTTGGTTGCATTAAACAATTTGGGTTTAGAATCCATATGATGTTGATAACAACAAATTACCGGTATGTACATTGTACAAGGTGTGGTGCATAGCAATACTGTCAAATTCTGCCTATGAAGCATGGAGAAACATTTGTGTTAACGCTGAACAGGAAATGGGAACATTTCCTCATATTGACAGGAAGCGTGATCAATTTTTGTACATTTTATCAAATTATGCTTCTCTCGCAGAAAGTGCATTGACACAGTAATAAAGCAAGCATACCCCACACATGTTTGATTTCATTGAAATATGACGCTACAACACCTCACTGTATACACATGTAACTGTGCGTTACAAATGAACGGGAAGTTGAAGTTAAAATACACATACCTCGTAGTACTCTCTGTTTTGGACGGATTTCAACGCACTGATCCATTCCTCCATGTCCTTCCTTTGTTCTGCACTCAAAACAAATGTACGGAACGGTGTGATAACCTGCAATGAGATACAGATAACAGTCAATCACGTTATTGTAAATGCAGTTGAAATACATATAACTATAGGATACCACAAGCCATTGTGTTGACTCAAAGGGTATACAGTCAGAGGATAAAATGAAGACAGCTCAAGTAATGATAGGAGCAATATAAAATGAGCTGGGTAACAAAATCTCTATTGTCTAATACAGAGATTTATTCAAGTATCATTTTTGCTTTTCTTAATTTTTAATAATCAGCTAGCAACATCCGTTGCCTATGGGGACAATTATTTATAGTTGTTGCCATGGAAACTGTTGTGCTGCAATAAATATTGGAGAACAACTGGTAGTCTGTTGACGTCAACATAATAATTCCTGTTACCGTACCGGTAATCAGAGATAAATTAGCTGATTGATAATCTTGAAGTTCAGCATAATACCGAGTACATGAATGACTTAATTACAACATTATTAACTTAATTATTAATTGAATTGCACTGTTGATTGATATGTATTATCCACCTATTACTTGTTTAAGTTTTATTCATTTGAGAAATTTTACACTCCAGACAGAATGGAGTGGAGAGGAATCAAGTGGAATGGTATCACTCATAGGGATCAAACAAAATGGTTCATAGAAAATGATATTTTTCAAAGAAAATTATATCATTTATTTGATTTATGTTGGATCTTGAAAAAGAGTATACAAGTTGTATGTGTAGCTGATTTCACCAATATTCTACTTGACAACCTTGTTAGTTTCATGTGCCATGTAGCTGATTTGCATATACAATGTAATAGCTGTCACTTGGGTGTACACAGCTTGTAATTTTTTTTATTTCAATCTCTGTCATTGAGGTAATTTCTTGTGATATTTTCTCATATTCTTCAATATTTCTGGAAATGAACTTTAATTTTGGAGCCAACAGTCAATTTTCATTTTTTACTCAAAAAATTTGGCTATTTTTGTCCCAATCTTCTGAAGGAAAGTGCAGACTATAAACGGTACTATTCTGTGAATTTGTGATGAAATTGGAACTCGTGGTGAAAAGGTGAAGGGGGTGTGTATCTACGTAATTGAAGTAAAAAACAATATTCAATCAGAGATTATACATGATTGGAAAGATAGATGACTTCAATATCGTAACTTCATCCGAATCATCCAACTTAATATTACCACTCACCAGGCAGTCAATATTTTCTGCACCGTAATTGTGCTTTCTATTTTGAAATTTGTTTAATCTGGCTGATTAAAGTTTGGAATTTACAAATGAAAAAAAAAAAAAAAAATTAAATGACTTGTTTCAACGTTGTAACTTCATCTTAAGCTATAACAACATAAGCTGACCACTGATTGGTCAGTCATTGCCTCTGCATCATAAACACGCATTGTTTTGAAATTGTTCAATCGAGACAATTATACTCCTGTGAGTTTGGCATTCTAAAAATAATTATATAAATTTGATCCTAATATATTTTTTCAGTTTTACGTATTAATTAATATACATTATGAGTCATGTATGAATAATGCGCTAGTGCAAATATGTCGTCGAAATTGGCACATTCATGATTTCTGTTGCATTTTGGGAAGTCTTTCTGTCCCAAAACAGGCATTGCATGCATACATGCATCGTGTGTGTCAGACCAATTAGTGGAAACTTGAAAGCTGCATGCAACAATCAGATTTTTACATATAATTAATAATAATTAATGAGAAATTATCTGCGTTTCGTAGATTAGCAGATAATTGCTATCTATTCGTATGTAAATAATTCAGGTGCCATTCTGTCGGTAGTGCAAAACCATCTCTTCAGAAGTTAGCCATTGACATTTTTCAAATCTGTTGTCAGAATGATATTCAACTCCAGGCGACTTGGCTACCGAGATCCGAGAATGAAAAAGCGGATATGCTGAGTAGAATTGTTGATACAGACGATTGGTCACTAAATCCCTAGATTTTCGGCATGTTGGACAAAATATTGGGCCCGCATAGCATTGACAGATTTGCATCTTGTCACAACGCTCAGCTGCCACGTTTCAATTCAGCAGCTTGGAACCCCGGTACAGAGGCCGTTGACGCATTCTGTCAGAATTGGTCCACTGAAAATAATTGGGTATATCCTCCCGTCAGTCTTGTAATTCCCGCTATTCGTCATCTTCAGAGTTGCAGAGGAAAGGCAACTTTAATATTGCCAAAATGGCCATCTGCCGCTTTCTGGCCGGTGTTGCGTCCGCAGCCTGGGCGTTTT